TGGAAGTTTTAGTAAAATAAATATTTAATAGTTTTATGGAAAATTATTTTGTCAATTTCTTTTGAATTTAAATAATTAAATCACAGAATATAAAAGGAGAAATAACGAAACATTTGTTTGAAAGAAAATTTTTTTAATTTATTCTCAGTGACTTTATACATTTGAAAATATTTGTTATGGAACATTTTTAAAATTGAGTACAATTTATTAGCCCCGATGTTAGTGGCTTAAAAACATTAAAAATCGAGATAAGGTAAGTAAAAATATTTATAAATTTTTTAATTAAATACAAAATAATATAAGAAGATGATATCGATCATTCCGAGTCAAGGATTAAATAAAAACATTATTCTTTACGTTTCAATGGCACAGCCATCCGATCCTCTTCAGAAACTGAAAGTTTATTACAAAATATAAAAAAAATTTTTTATAAAATTTTAACACATTTGTAGAAAAAAAATATTTCTTATAAAAAAATAAAATTAAATGACTAAATTTACCTTAAAAAATGAAAACATTATTCAAAAAAACTCTTCTTGAATAAGTAAATTTAAAAGTGATTAAACGTTTCAATTGACACGATTGCTAATAGACACTGATCAATTACAAAGTTGCGTATGAAGAAGCGTATAGAGTGAAATTAGGTTCATTGACCTTATTTCAATAATGTAAATAGAGAAACGTCAAGGTATTATTAGACAGGGATAAAAGTTATGAATATTTTCTGTCATTGAGAAAATGGAAGTAACAATTACTGAGATTTTGAGTGTCATCTTTTTTGTTTATTGCATTCTTTTGCAGATTAATATGAATCATTTCGGATATCAAGCGTTTGTTCTCATTTGATTCTCTGTCAAGAATTGAAAAGTTATACCAGTCAAAATCATGCTTTTTAGAATCTCTATGAGTAACAGTGACACCAACTTTTGATTTTTTATGTTCATTAAGCGAACCCCCACCATTCTCTTTGTTTCACCAACATAAGATGCGGTACAATTTTTGCAATTTAATTTATAAACAACATTAGTTACTTCTGTTTTTCTGTTTTTGTCCTTACCCTTTCTGATCAAATTATGACTCATAGCATTGTTATTTGTAGGAATCGTTAAAATATTATAATTACTATAAGCATTGAAGACGTTTTTTCATATAAATTAGGTTTGCTGCTAGGTATCGCTTATTAAAGATTAGTTCGCTTTGTTTTGTGTCAAAACACAATTAAAAGAAAAAACTTGACGAAAAATATTGAAAAAGTATTTAAAAATCTGATTTGTTATTTTGACTAGTTCGGACAAAAAGTGATGAGTTTACGTTTCTCACTGGTGTTATGTTATTTTATAGAATAATTTTGAATTTTATTTTTTTCTGTAAAGTACATGACCCAAGCTTTGTCATAAATTTATATTTATTTAAAAATTTTATTTATTTAAATTTTAGTTGTGTCAATTTGTCTCCTGACATTAGGAGAGATGGCCATGTTTTTTCGAGGTGAGATGGCCATACTGTTTAAGTTATTGGCACCCTTGAGATTCGTGTGTTCGCTGAAAAAAACATTAATTCTGTGGCAAATGACATTTTTTGTGACATATATTACAAGACACTCCAACAAAGATTTTCAAATTTAAATATGATTAAATAAAATAATCACTATGTGTAATTAAATCTTAAAAACGTTTATAAACAATCATAACACAGGTCTACAAAATAAGACTTATATATATATATATATATCAGAGTGGTTTTCAATGTATTTTTGTGTGCTGAACACGATCCGGGGTTCTAAAACTGCGTATGAAGTCAGGATTTTGAGTAAAGTGGGGGTAAAGTCTTCAAAAACCATGTTTTTGAATGTTTTCATTATTTTTTTTTCCTTAACCTGACGTGCTAGAGACTTCTATCTAGGCTTAAATTGAAGTTTAAAACGTACATTTTAAGACCCATATGCGCAAAATAAAAATTTTTTTGAAATTTTGATACAATGGGGGTAATGACCCCAAAAATCTTTTTAAGTGACTTGAACCTAATTTTTTTCAAATTAAAAATTTTTTTTATCTTGCGCATACGTATGTGTCTTAAAGTGTAAGACATGAGCTTTAATTTAAGCCTTTATAAAAGTCTCTATCACGTCAGGTTAAGAAAAAAAAATACTGAAAACACTCAAAAACACGGTTTTTGAAGACTTTACCCCCACTTTATTCAAAATCCTGACGTGATACGTAATTTTAGAACCCGGAATCATGTTCAGGACACAAAAATAAATTAGAAACCACTCTGATATCTCAAAAAATTTCCTTGTAGCCTTGTTGTGTTGGTAAGACAGACAAACAGACAGCGCTTATGAAAATTGCACTGAATTTAATCATAAATGTTCGAAATGTAGTCAGAACAAGAAAAAAAGACTTTAATCCCTTTTAAATTAAAAATTTTGATAAAGCGAAAAGCTAAAAATTGATTTTAAAGTATTGGCCATCTCTCCCGTACGCCTATGGCCATCTCCCCCGTACATTCCGGGAGAGATGGCCAAACGCGTTTTTTAAAAAATATTAATTTTAAGATTGTTTTAATTTAAAAAATTTCTCATTTCTATCATTTTTTGTAAGTTAAATGTTCAATGTTTAATTATCAATAAAAGTTAATACTTAAATCATACTTTCTTTTTATTTTTACAGACTTTTAAAAAAACTATGGCCAACTCCCCCGGACTTACCCTACAATATAAGCTCTATAAGTATAATAACGACAAAGTTCAGTTTTGGAAAATATTTCTAACTAAAATTAAGAACAGTTCTGAAATAGTTTTGTAACTGATCTGTAACTGCATTTTCTGGGTACAAAACGTCTTTTCAGGATAATTAACAGTATAGGTCACGGAGAAAAATGTAAAAACGAATAAAGTAAAGTTTACTATTTTAATAGTAAAACCGCGGAACTGATCCCAGTTTCTGCGCATTTCTGGAAATTTTTACTCCTGAGATAGTAAAATTTACTATTTCAGTAGTCGCTTTTACTATTTTCGGAGAAAATTTTACTATTTCTGAAGTAAAAATTGCCAGAAATGCGCAGAAACTGTGGAAAGTTTCGGTTTTATTTTTTAAATAAAAGTTACTTTATTCGTTTTTCCATTTTTCTTCGTGGTCTTATTATTATTAGTCCGTCTTAAATGTATAAACACTGCAAAAGATAGTTTAAGATGTTTTGGTTGTCGCACACTATACTTATTGTAAAGTAACTTTTACTATACTTACAAAGTAAAACTTGAACTTTCCAGAACGCATCTCTAACAAATTTTGTTCCAGAAATAGAAAAAATTATTACTCCTAAAAATGTAAATTTTACTTCGGAAATAGTATTTTTGACTATTTCTGAAATAAAATTTACATTTCGGTGTCCATCTTAAAACCAAAATGACTGCAAATATCAATTTTTTGGCTTAAATATAAGTTTCAGTTGATTTTTAGGTTTAAAATCACGCGACGAAGGTTAAAATTCAAAATGTAAATCCAGTTTTATGTAAAACGATTTCAGTTCAAAGTTGGTTGAGGTCAAAATTTATTTTTTACATAGTGTTTGGAATATGGTATTATACTTAATATACACGGAAAAAATTAATTTAGTATATTTTACAAAACTGTAACGGAGTAGTCTTTACGAAACTAAGTTTTGTAAAATGTGATGGATATTTTCGCATAAACTACAGAAATTTCATTATTGTTTATTCTGAATATTTCTGGAGTTTATCCTGAATATTTCGTGACATTTTACAACACTCAGTTTCGTAAAGAGCTGTATCCGCTACTCCGTGATATTAGTTCTGTAAAATCTACTGAATTAATTTTTTCCGTGTATAATCAACAAAATTTAGCACGAAATTCATCAGATTCTGGGAGAAGATATATATATACGGTTTACTTTCAAAAACATCTTAATCTAAGATGATAACACTTGTATCTTATTTTAAGATACTAAATTTACCTATTTTTACAGTGAAGTTTTTAGTGCCTTTTAGGAACAGTGTAAGAAATAATATATATATACTGAAAGGTCCAAATTTGTTTCCAAGCGTTTCAACATATCATGCAATCGAAATTATGACGAAGAAACGAGAAGTTATTATCGGATCCTATATACATTATATCTCTATAACTATTATCCGATTATTATTATCTCTACTATTATCTATTATTATCTCTACTATTTCGACTAATTTTGGTATATATCCCACATTTTATAAAGTTCATCACGTAAAGACTAAGCCAAACTGAATGTACACATACTTTCTTTTCACTATGCAAAATGTGGGTTACGTCCTAGAATACTCGTCTCTTGTAAGCTAAAAACATCCATTTGTAAAACACAATACAGATACAAGAAAGAGATTATTATAGGCCACCATTACTGTCCTAAAATGGAAAAATATACGTGTGACATGTATTTCATGTCACGTATATGTTTTTCCTTTTTTAGAGCAGATTAAACCAAAAATTGACTGTGTTTACTACTGGCACAGTAATGGTACAGTACTGGTAGTAGTACCCCGCCAGTACTGTACCAGTACTAATTTAAAAACCCCCCAAAAAAAACCCTCTTTTTCCCATTCCTATTGGTCAAAAAACCACCTCAATATTGTCCTCTCTTCATTCTGCCTCTCACAATCTTTCCCTACTTTTCTTCTTTCTTCATCCCTCACCAATGAATACGGCTGTTTATATAAAACATAGGGAAAAGAATTTAAAAAAAAAAAAAAATCTTAAATGAAAGATATGTATCTTCATCTACGGACTTTCCAAACGATTCTAGTCCACGCCCATTGTATATTCGACAAGGGACGTCTACGTGGGTTGTACTAACAACACGATTGGTGATCTTAACTTCCTCACAACGAATCATCACAGCCCCTGTGAATTCAACAACCAATCAGCAAGCGCCTCACTTCCTATATATTCCACACACAATCAACTTCTCTCTCTCCTTCTCTTTCTCTCTCTCTTCCCCTCGATATGGATAGGGTTCATGGGTACCTACACGACCAGCAGACTCAATATCCTCTTGCCAACAACGGATGACACTGTTTTAGTTCGGTTCGCATATTTATAGAGTAAATTTCTCTCCCCCCCCCCCAAAAAAAAAGAATTCCTTTTTTAAATCTTTTTCGGAAAATTGAAATTGAAAAACAAGTGAAAGAGAGACTATTGAAGAGAAACGTTTCAAGTGTACAGTGTTGCCGGATTTCGAATTTCAAACTAAATTGAAAGGTTTATGATCGATAAAGTGTTTTTTGAACAGAATTGTGATAAAATTTAAGGGATAGGAGTGAAGATAAAAAAGAAATTAATAATTGTGAAGGTAGAAATATATTGACTTGTGTGTGAATTGTAGAGGAAAAGTGAGGAAGATTTGGCAACGTTGCAATCCCGACTGGCTCGCACACGAAGCGTAGAGAGAGAGAAAGAGAGAGAGAGAGAGTGAGAGGGGAGTGGGGGGGTTTGTAGGGTGGCAAGCCAGCAAACAGACCGGCAGACAAGCAGGCAGCTTTCTTGTTTCAAAGTGGTGTGTGCTGCCTACAGAGCTCCTGTGACCATGCTCCCCTCCCTGCGCACTATTCTTTAATCCTCTTTCCCTGACTGCGCCTCTCTCATAGCTGCAATTTCAGTCCCGACTCTTTTGTCTTTTACTTTTTCTCTCTCTCTCTTTCTCTTTTTCACGAAGATATCTCTCCCTTCCTTCGACCCCGTCGCGCGCTAGTTCCCTCTTCTCTCTCTTTCTTTCTCATTCTCCCCCCCCCTCCCCCTTCTCTCCTCATCCTGTCGTGTACGACGACGGACGAGTCCAACGGCATAACGAGCCAAGGGGAGTTCGGAAGTTCTCGGCTCTAGTCGGTTTCGAACCGGAGAATGTACTAGACGCCAGTTTGTCGATATCGTAACGCGTCACACACGGATACTATCCACCTTTTTTTTCCGTTTCAAATGAAAAAAAAAGCACCATATCTCTAATGTGACGATTAATTGTGATTTCAGTGTTTATTGTTCGATTTATTTTCCAGTGAGGAATGTTTCTTTTTTTTTACATCGATTTCGTTAACAAAAAACGTTGGATTAAAAAAGTGAGTGAAAAACCTTGATTCGGCGCCTATCTGTGCGCGACCGCCATGTTTGGTGTTTACGAGGCGAGGGAGAATCGTTGACGTCACTGGCCCGAACTCGCCCGAAGGGAACCAGTAATATTTTTTTTTTTTTGACAATAAAAGTCAAAAAAGGAAAATAAAGGCAAAAGTCTTAAAAATTTGAAAAAATTTTGAATTTTTGGAAAAATTCCATCAACTACAGATGGAACTTGGTCATCGGCCATCACTCGTGGCTTGCCGGTTGCATACTACCACTACTACTTTCGACAATAACATTGGACTGAAAAATAGCCTCGTTTTTGCACAACGATATTGTGAAAACATTGATCATGTCGACAATGTTTCTTGGCATTATTGAAAGTGTGCGGCACGTGTTTTGACAATAGTGTGATTGAAAAACAAGTGAAAAAGTGGTTATTGTGACCAAATGTCCCAAAGGGGTAATAACACCACCACATGGGGGTTAGTGTTTACTGTAAATAAGTGAGTTTTTTTTTTTTTTTTTTTGTCCTTTTTTTCAATTTTTCTACCACCATTTTAAATAAAGAGGGAGAAAAAAAAAGTGAAAAAAAAACGATTTTTAAAATCTTAAGACATTTAAAAAAAAATCAAGTCATGGATCTCGGTGACAGGGTTTATGCGGCAGAACGGATCACGAAGAAGAGAGAAAAACGGGTATGTTCAAGTTTTATGTGTGTTGCGAAATGTCGCCACTAGACGGCGCCACATGACGGGACATATTTCTAATGAGAGCAAGAGAGAGAGAGAGAGAGTTGCCCATCAAACTCTTCGTTTTTACTTCCAATTTATTCAACTACTGTCATTTGTATATATATATATATATTATCTGATTTTAATTCATTTTCATATTAATCATAAAATTTGGATCTTTTTTCAGCCTTTTTTGTATGATTTCGTTCATTTGGGGTAGAAAAAAAAGGTTAATCATGCATTGCATACTAATTTACTGTATATATATATGTATATAAGAAACAGTACTCTGATTCTAAGAAATAGAAAATGGTTGATGTCCTTTTTGGCATGAATTACGCATTGGAAAATGATGATGCTTTTTTAACATTATGAGCGATGTTTATATTTCAATTTGTAGACTTATAATACTGGATGAGAAAAAAATATGTTACTGTCTCGTATAGAGGAGAAAATATTGATGTAACTCTGATATGAGAGATTTTTTTACATTCTATTTAACATACGGTTGATCTAGTTAAAAATTATAAGCATGGCAAGTAGACAACGTAATCTTCAGGATTCAAGAGTTAATTAATTGTGTTTGATTGTATAATGGAAGTGCATTTAAAGGGGAGTGAGGCTTAAAGGGCAATACTTGCATATTATTATTATTGTTATTACAATGAGTACTACTATTACTACCAGTGATGATGATGATGATGTTGATGATGATAATGATGATGTTGATAATAATGCTGATAATGATGTTGATGATGATGTTGATAATGATGATGATGATGACAATGACGATACTATTAATAATTACAACTAACACTGCCTGTTGCATGATTACTAAAATTTTAGGTTATAAATTTTAACTAACATGAATTAGTGATTGATTTTGTTTTTACTACGAATTAGTTCCCTTTTGCTCCAATAAATTAGTAAAAAAATAAACATTTTCTATCAATTTTTTTAGTAAAATTTAATTTAAAGCAAAAAAATCCCTCACTAATATTCAAGTTAGTTAAATTTTTACTAAATCAAATTTAGAGAGTATATCTCTTTAAATCTGAATTAGTGAAAAGTGGGCTATACTAATTCAGATTAGTAAGAATTTTCACTAGTTATTTAGCCATTCACACTACACTAATTTAAAAGTATCAAAGTTATATAAAAAGTATCAATTTGATATACTTTTAAATTAGTGTGACCGCAGTTAATTTAAAAGTTTCAAATTAATACCAAAAGTATCAAATTTATATAAAAATTCGAATCAATTTTCGATACTTTTAGTATCAATTTGATAATTTAAAGTTAACTGTGAGTCATTTTTTTTAGCTAAAACTTTAGTAGAAAAATGAAATTAGCATTAAACTAAATCAAATGGTAATATTTTACCGTACAATTAGTGAAAATTCTTACACAGAAAATTGTGGGTTATTAAAATAAAATGCAACCATTTTATTTAAATGTTAATTTGTATTAAAATAAGATGGTTGCACTAGTATATCACAATTTTCTGCGATCATTAATAATGTCCATTTTTCGCAAATTCAGATTTACTCTCTAGAGACTCCAATTAGTAAAAAATTTTAATGAATATTTACTATAAAGTAAGAGAAATTTTCACTATAATTTGAATTAGTTAAAATGAGTAATTATAAGTAAAGTGTTATTTGGATAAATTTTTACATTAGCAATTGGTGAAAAATAACTAATTGTTAGTAGAGAAAATGTGGAAAATTGTTAGTGGAAAAATAACTAAAAAAAGTAATTGATTTAGTTAAAATTAACTAATTTAATAGCAATTAAATTATGTATTAATAATTATTTATTAGTTCACTTTTAGATTATGTCAAAATAACTAAATTTTTTGGTAACAGAGTCAAATTAACTATTTTTTAAGTCATTTTTCCATTAAAAATTTGTTACTTTTCACTAATAATGTTATTTTTTTTACTAATTTAGATTTAGAGAGTAAATTGGTCAATTTTAGTAATTAAAAATTAAGTTTTTTTTTAGAAGATTATAAAAACATTAGAATTAAATCATTTCTTTTACAAAATTTTTTTACTATGCGTTCATGTTTATAATAGTTAATTTTTATTTCTAAATCCTTGAACGTGACTTATTGTTAAAAATTCCATTGAAAAAAATTATGTTTTATATATATATATATATATATATATATATATATGGAAGTTGAAGAAATTCTAACTCGAAGAAATGATTCATCAAGTTTCAATTTTATAATTTGCAATTCTTTAAGAGGCAATAATTGCAATCTCTCTCTCTCTCTCTCTCTCTCTGCTCTTTATTCGTTAAAAAATATTACAAAATCGAATAAGGAAAAACAACAAAAAAAAAACATAGTAATGTAGGAATTAAACTAATGACAATTTACTGATCAGATTTTTTTTGTTACGCAGGGGAAAGTCGAATATTTCGTCAAATGGAAAGGCTGGAGTAAGAAGTGAGTTAAATTTTAATTTTTGTAACAAAAAATCGTATATCAGATAGAAAATGATAATAAATTTTCTTTTCTTTTTCTCAGATACAATACATGGGAGCCTGAGGAAAATATTTTAGATGTTCGACTTATAGAACTCTATGAGGAGAGTCAAAAAGGAACTGATATTGTCACAAGACGACCCAGGAGAAGGGACACACGATATAATGTAAGATCCGGTTACTAGCCTAAAAATTTTTTTAATTAAAAACTCGTTTAAAAAGGAAAATTCAGTCAAATGTTAATTTGAAAAATGTAAATTCGTCCAAAAATTCGAATCACGGAAAGAATTTCAATTGTTAAAAGTATCTAAGTAAATTTTTACATGATTCGAATTTTTTAATGCCAGGTTTTTTTTAAATTCACCGAATTTTCATTTGATAAATTTTTATTTAATAGAATTTTTAAGACGCCGAATTTTTATTTGACCGAAATTGGAAATGTTCGAACATAACCTACATAAAGGTTTTGGCGCTATTTTTAAAATTCCAATGAGAATTCTAAATTATTATACGGTAATGTTAGAATTAAAAAAAAAAAATTTCGTTAAGAGAGATTTTGGAAAAATAAAAATCTGATAGCGAAAAATTTTGTTGAGTAAAAATTTGTTAAAAAATAAATTCTGTTAAATGCTGATTCAAAACATGAAAATTTGTCTAAATAAATAATTTCTATATCTAGTATCTAATAAATTGAAAAAAATGCAAATTAAAATTAAATTCTTCCTGCTCAATTTAAATCGAATATCAAATTTTTGATTTTGAGATAAGAAATTGGAAAAATTTATTTTTTATCCATTAGTTGATTTTTTTTTTTTTGTTAATATCACTTTCTTTTTTCGACAGGAACAAGTGTTGGCGAATCTTGTTGTTGAAGAAGAACCAGGCGGAGATGAACGAGTTGGTGAAGATAGTCAGGATGAATCGACCGGAAGTACATCGGCAGTACCGCGATTAAATCCCGTCGCTCCCGATGAGGATACACTTCACAGTTCATTGGATGGACATGAATCGTCAATACCACCTGAATTATCGGCATCGGCATTTAGCGTTGACTCAGAGAGTTCAAATAGCAGTGCGGACATTCCTCTTTTGCCAAGGAAAGAACCCGCTGGCACTAAACGTAAAGCCGAAGTATTGAGCAAAGAATCGGGTAAAATTGGCGTCACAATCACGACAAGTAGTCCAAGCAGTGGAAGTACAAGTCCACCACCTGGTAAACTACCAAGACTATTGCCCATTAAAGGAAACGCCACATCGCCAACTTATAATGTAAGTTTTGCCATCCCGAAGAAAAATGGAGAATTTTTTGAAATTTTGGAACGTTGGACTTGGACTAACTTTAATCCTAACTGGCCTATCTTGGCTCTATTGAGATATTAATTCCACATTATTTACTGAGTAATTTGAACCTATGATGAAAAAATTGGTAGAGGAATTTTCGAATAAACTCGATTTTTGTGTATTTTTAACTTTTTTTTTTTAGTAAATTTTTTACTTTGAAACAGTTGAATATTAATCGATTCGATTTCTAATCATGAATCAATTCTTTCTGAAATTGTCAAGTATTCAATTTAGAAATTTCAGAATAAATACTCAATGTTTGTTAATATTGTTTAATTTTATTACTCAAAAATGTCAAAAGCTAGAAGTCATGAAGAAAATCTTTACTGGGTTTGCTTTTTTCTGTTTCGGAAAAAATAATGATTTCTATTATAAAGGTACAACAAATGATTTTTCATGATTAAATCTTACGCCTTTAATAGAAATCATTGTTGACGTTTTTCAAAAACAAAAAAGGCAAACCGATTTTCTTCATGACTTCTAGCTTTTGATATTTTTGACGCGTACAATTTAGTTATTGCTATTATTAAAAAATATTTTTTTTACAATTTAACAAAAATTAACATATAATCTTCATTAAATACTAATTTTTTAAACAATATATATCAAAAATTCTCAGTTTGTTTCGTATTCACGGAATTTATACTTACTAAATTAATACAACTACACTTTATTTAACAGAAAATTTATAAAATTTAATTCCTCAATTATAAATTACTACTATTAAGAAAATATTAATATAATTAATGAATTTTCTGTAAAATATGTAAAGGTTTTCTCATAAAGATTCTGTGATTCTCTATGTAAAATTGATGCTTTAAAGATGTAAAAAAAACAAAAAATTCAATTATGAAATTAGTTTCTGCCTTAATGAATCTACTTTTGAGGAAATTAATTATTGCTTTTGCAAAAGAATAACTTTTTTTTAATTTTTATGAAAAAATTCAGTTTCATTAAAAAGCTTCCTCGTGACGTACATAACGGGACAAGAAAATTAACATCTAAAAAAAAAAAAAGATAAAGAAAAATAAATTTTTTTAACAACCAATTTTTTCTGAATTCTGCAAACTTGGACAATAAAAAACAGATACCAATAATTATTTTTATTATTGTATATTGTTAAAAATATTTATTTTTGTTTCGTAAATGAAAGGCTTTCCCATGACGGTTTGGCTTTTTAATTTGAATTTTAAAAATAATATTTAATTTTATATATTAAAGTGGCTATTGGCTTTTATTTGTAAACACTAAAGTTACTTTTTCACGTTGGATTCTTTACACAATTTATTTCTTAAAAAAAAAACACAAGGGACATGGAATTGTACAACTTCGTGGAGAATCACACCTTTATACAAGATTATTAACAAACATTGAAATTTTATTCTCACACTTCTAAATTGTATATTCGACAACTTTAGAAAGATAATTTATACATGATTAGAAATCAAATTGATTAATATTCAACTGTTTTAAAGTAAAAAAAAATTTAGTGTAAAAATTTAAAAATATACAAAAATCGAATTTATTCGAAAATCTCTCTGCCAATTTTTTCATCATAGGTTCAAATTACTCAGTAAATAATGTGGAATTTATATATGAAAAGAGCTAAAATGGGCCAGTACTTTTGGATTAAAATTTGTCGAATCCCATCGTGATGAATATTTCTCACACTGAATTTGTTGGAATTTCTACTGTACCGAAATTAATAATTAATTAATTAATTTTCATTTAGCTGAAAATATTCACTGAACAGAATTTTGATTTAAGTGAATTCACATTGTAAAAGAAAAATTTTATTTAATAGAACTCTTATTTATTTAGAAATTATTTTAAAGAAAAATTCAATGAACTAGAGAATCTGTTGTATAAAAGTTCGACTAAATAAATATTCCTTTAAAATCTTCAATTATAAATTCAGTTAAATAAAAATTGTTAAATATGAAAATTCAATTCAATAGAAATTCCACTTTTATAAAATTCGGTAACATAGAAATTCGAGTTTATTAATTTCGAAACAATAGAAATTTCAAAAAATTCAATTTGGAGAATATTCATGCGTACCGAAATTATTATTTTTTTTATGAATTAGGTAAAAAGATAAATACAAAATCATTCGGACAAAATATGTTTTTTTTTGTTTATTAAACACCATTTGTTCCAATGTTTTCATAGTTATTTTTTTACCTAATTCGTAAAATACTTCTCGAACGTAAAATATTGACTAATAATATTATACAAATTGATTTTTTTCTTTAATTTTTTGATTCTTTTTTTTACCATTAATTTTAGTGAAAAAGAGAAGTTAAAACCTCCTATTTTTTTAATGATTGTAAAACAACAAAAAATTTAAAAACTAAAATTTTTTCCTTTTATTTTCTAAAAATTGATAAATTTCTGTAAAGAATTCACATCTTGTAAATTTCGCGAGAATTTTTATATAAATTCTTTTAAAAAAATTTGAATTCTATGGATTATCTTTCTAATGAGACCTAGAATTGAAAAATTAATATATCCTTCTCGTTATTATGTCATTCATTAAAGAATTTTGTCTGATTTAAAAAATTTTTAATGCAAAATTAATTTTTAGTTTTTATTTTACATTTTTAAGTTTAAAGTTGTTTTACAATCATCAAAAAAAGGTCGCATAATTCCCACTGGTAGTGAACTAAATGATACTTTTTTAAAAAAAGAAAAGATAATTTTAAAAAATTGTCAGAATCCAAGAATTTTAGTTTTTAACTTTATTTTTATTGAATTTAAGAATTTGCAAAAAAAGTTTCAAAAAGTTTATATGTAAAATATTTATAAAAACATAATTATCTATACAATCTGCTTATATAGAACAGAACATAAAAATCATGAAAAAGGTGTGGAATTTTAAAAAATTTCAGAAAATTGTGTAAAAGGCCTGAAATTTTTTAAAGTTTCTCTAATTTTTTTGAAAATTTTGAGCAATTTTTAAGAATAAAAATTATTGCAACCTTGATTTATAAAATTAATGGAAAACATTATTATTAATGTTATAATTGAATAACTAGAAGCTTTAAAAAACAAATTTGTGATTTTAAATTAAGTAAATGTGATTTAGTTTAAAATGAGAATTTTAAACAAAAATACAGACTTCGGATTATACGATTTTATTGACTTTTTCCGACTTTTTTTTTCAAAAATACGACTCTTTTCGATTTGTTTTAATAAAATGCGACTTTTTCGACTTTTTTTTATATATTTAAAAAAAAAATTTTAAACAAAATACATTTTTTTTTAAGTATAAAATGCAGATCTTCTTCAGATCTTCTTTATTTCAATTATTTAACAAATTTTTAATTTAAATTCATCACTAAATTAATTTTTTTTTAATAATTTTAATGAAATTCTTCACAAATTCAATTATCTTAAACTATTTTTCAATTAAAATTTTTATGAAATTGTTTATAATTAAAAAAAATTAGCAAATAAAATAATACAAAAAATTTTAATTTAAAATCACTTGAAATTTAATTATTTGCAAAAATTTCAATTATTTTTTAATGATTTTTATAATATATTCTTCGAAAATTCAATTATCTGAAAGTATTTTTCAATTAAAAACTTTTGGAATTCAATTTTTTTTATGTGATTCCTTATAAATTCTTCATCAACAGAAATCACTAAAAATTTCTCTTATTATAATTATTGTTTGAAATTTAACACAATTTTTTGAAATTCAATTACTTTTAAAAAATTTCAATTTAAAAGCTTTTAAAATTTAATTATTTCTAAAATTTTCCATCTAAAATTTTTTGAAATTTAATAATTTCAGTTATAATTCTCCTTAAATTCAATTATTTTTAACGATTTTTATAATATTCTTCGAAAATTCAATTATCTGAAATCATTTTTCGTTTCAAAAGTTTTCAAATTATTTGTATTTTTATCTGCAATTTGTTATAAATTTTTTAATGAAATTATCAAAAAATTTTAAATTAAAAATTACTTTAAGTTCAATTAATTTCAAAAAATCAAAATTGTAAATCTTTGAAAATTCAATTACTTTTAAAAAATGGAATCTAAAATTATTTGATAAATTATTTTTAGTTCTGTGAAATTTAATTATTGTTTTTAAATTAAAAAAATCTTTTGAAATTCAAATATTTCTAAAAATTTCAACTTTAACTCTTTCAAAATTATTATTTAAAAAACGAAAAGTTTATTTAAAAATCTGTAAAACTTGTTTAAGTATTGCCTGAATTTTTTTTTTTGACCATCAAAACTAAAAAGTATGAACAAATTTTTAATTCAAATAAATTTCTTAAATCAGACTTGAAAAAATGATTAAAATGAAAATTTAAGAAATTTGTCCTACACTTAAATAAAATTTTGAAAATTTGTCTTTTAGTTCGATTATGAAATAGAAATAAATTTTTTTTGATAATATTCATTTATTATAATTTAAAATAAAAAAATCGACTTTTTCAACAATATAAATCTACTAAAATGATTTTTGTTTGTGTTTTAAAGTCGTTCCAAGGCTTGTATATAAATAAAATAATAATAATTAATAATTAATTAATTAAAGCAAATTAAAAAATGGAGAAATTTCTTTGTACAGAATCACAAATTAAATGGAAGGCGACCGTCGTCGTCGAGTGTAAAATCAACAACGCCAGAGGAACCATCGCCGGCAATGCCAACGACACCGGCTGCCGAAGACAAAAAACGACCTGAAGCTGACGTACCACATGGACCATCGCCATCGTTGCCGCGTACACCACAAACGCCATTATCAACACAAATTGAAACCACCGTCGAAACAACAACATCAACATCATCAACATCATCGTCATCATCATCCTCATCAACGACAACAACATCAACAACAACAACAACGGCAACGACGACGACAATTGCTGCATCGACAGCAACAACAACAACAACAAAAACACGTCACGATCATCGTTCACAGGAGAAATTATCAAATGGTCCTCTAATCACGACTGATACAAATGGACATAAATCACCAAGTCCCACTGATTCCTATACAAATAACAACAGGTTACCCACAATGGTTAATGGTCATCATAATAATAATAACAACAATACAAACAATAACAATAACGCCAGTCAAAATCAAGTCAAGGCAAATAGTGAATTTGTCACATCTGATTTGTATATCCCATTAACTAGTCCCGGCACTGATTATTGGCATTCGAGAAATCCCGTCGCCGATCAGGTTTTTATCACTGACGTTACTGTTAATTTAAAGACCGTTACCATTAGGGAATGCAAGACTGAAAAGGGTTTCTTCCGGGAAAGAGATCCTAAGAGCGATGTTCTCTAAACGAGAGAAAAAAAGAAAAAAACGTTTTTCAATCGCAAAAGTAATTTGTGTCCTCTTTTTTTTTTTTTATTAATAATTGTAAATACTATTTATTTTATTTTTTTTTTTGGCACTTGCTTTCAGTGAAATAATTAATTTTTTTTTATTGCACAAACAAAAGCCCTAAAAAATAAAACATTCTACTTTTAATCCGTTGCCTGTCGCTGACGCATAAATGTGCGCAAAAATTGAAACTGGCCAAAAGTGTTAATTACGCATAAATGCGTTACTTAAAAAGAAATAATTAAAATCATCTGAAATATTTCTGAAAGTAGTTTTCGGAGTCGCTGATTATGAATCTGACATCAGTTTTTCAAAATTCAAAATGGCGAATTTTACGAAAATTTGAAAAACTGATGTCAAATTCGTTATCAAAAAACCCAAAAACTTGAAGATAACAATCGATTAAAATTTTTCTTTTTTCCAACACACTTTTAGCCCCAACAGTGAAAAAAAATCTCGTCGACAGCCAAAGGAGTTAAAGCAAGAATTCAATTATTATTTCTCTAAAAAAAAATACTCGTTTGATTTTTTTTTTTTTGAACACTTTTTTTTTTATCCCTTGACACAAATTATATTGTTTGTGATAGAAAACAAAATTTTTTAGACGAAAAATTTTTCTTTCCAACATAGTGTTAATAATATTTGTTTATTTTCAAAGGGTGTCTAGTAAATAGGGGAAAAAACGCGGGAAATTTTTGTTTATTTTTTTTATAATCAAACCAAAAATTTTACTTCTACGCTTAAAATTTATAATTTATAGTTAAAAATAAATTATATTAATTATTATTTATTAATTATAAATTATATCAAAGTAATTTTTAAATCCGTGAATTTTACAAAATATTTCGGGGCGCATGTGTATTGTATAAAAATTTATTAATTAGAATTTCTATTTTAAAGAATTTTATTAGAAATAATAATTTTTTTTTTTAGAGGAATTTTCGTTTTGTTAATTAGCATTTGACAGAATTTCCTTTTCATACGAATTTTTGTTTGATAGAATTTTTATTTCATAGTCTTTTAATTTACATGACTTTTATGAGAATTTTAATTTAATCGAATTTTAAATTTGAAGAATTTTCATTGAATTGAATTTTTTTGTGATTCGAATTTTTAAGACGTCAAATTTTCATTTCTACGAAATTGCAAATGATTGATGAAATTTAAAAATAGAGCCGAAATCTTTTTGTCGATTTTTTGTTCGGACATTTGTAATTTCGGACAAATAAAAATTCTATCAATTTACAATTCGTAGAAAAATAAAAATTCAAAATTTTACCAAATAAAAATTACCTAAAAATTCTGCAAAAACGTTTTTTCGTCAAAAAAAGTAATTAATAGAAAATTCTTTAAAATGAAAATTTGTAACTAATGATTATTTTATGGGATAATAATGCGTTCAAAAAAAAATTGTAGAAATTTCCTAATATTTTAGGGATTTTCTTATCCTTATAAAAAAAACAATTTACCAAAATTTCGAAACCAATTCAATAATTTTTAATTTTTGACTCGTATTAGTTGTTGATAAAGAATGCCTCAAATATTTATTGTTTTTAATGTCTTTTTTTATGATTTAAGATTTGAATTTTATTTAGTTTGATAAAACTATACTATTTTAAATTAAAAATTTTTTGAGTAAAATTATTGCAAAACTGCGGGTAATTTTAAATTACTAGACATCCTTATTATAAACATTTTTTTGAAAAAAGTTTAGACACTTTTTAAAAATATCGAATTTAGTTAAAAAAAAAAAAAAAACCCCAAAAAATCGATTCTCGATTTATCTGTTTTTTCTAAAATTAGAACAATTTTTTAAATATAACAAAATTGATCAACAAAATTAAAATCCCAGTGAAAAGAATTTCTTATTATTACCGTTGTTAATGAAAATTGGTAAAAAATGTTTAAAAAAAATTTTTTTAGTTGGTCAATAAAAAAATTATTCAATGCTATTATTGAGGAAAAGTTGAAAATGAGAAATATAAAAATAAATAATAAAAAAAAAACCATAAAAAACTCAAATAAAAATGGAAAAACAGAAAAATTGCAAAAAAATCGATTATTTTGTGGTTTTTGAAAAATGAACATTTTTTAGTCTCAAGGGATAAGACAAAAGTTGATGATTTTTAATTATTTTTTTTTTAATATCAAACGGAGATTAGACGCATTTTTGAAAAATAATGTTCCCCTCCCCCTCCGATAATGTGAGATTTATCTTAACTTCTAGAATTGTTTTTAATTTTTTTTAAAAGTCTTATTTTTCGATAGTTTTCACGAAAAAATTTTTTTTCTCGAAAAGTGGCTCCTCGCATTGTTGATTATATCAAAAAAAAAAAAATATTTCTCTAAATATAGTGAAATATAAAAAATATATTTTAAAAAAGAAAAAATTTTCTTTATTGACTTTTTTTATATTTAGAAGTTTTTTTTTTTTATAAAATTAACGTTGAAAAATTTAAATTTCACTTTCCCCATCCCTTTTTTCGTATTTTATTATTGTAAATATTGGTTCATGTTTGAATTCTACTTATTTATTCTATTTGATTAAAAAAAAAAAAAAAAAACTAGAGAAATATTTTTAAATTACTTATATATGTATAAAAAAAAAATATATATATATTAATAGTTTTCAATTTCAATTGAATTCCGTTTTAGGAAAAGGAAAAAATATTTTTTACATCCTACTTTTTTGATTAAAAAAAAAAGAACTAATAGAATTTTTTTTTTTTAATCAATTTTTCATTTATTTTTCCGTTACAATAATTTTCATATTCATCTTTTTTTTTTTGACCAAAAAAATGATTCCAATTTTCAAAATAAAACGTATTATTTTTGAGAAAAAGTATCAAATATTACAAAAAAAAAAAAATAATAATAATAATAAAAAGTGATAATATATCAAATATAATCTTCCAATTCGGAAATTTTTAATTTATATAACTAACCTCGTGGTTCGATACTTTTGTTTTATTTTTGTTTTTTGAAACTGGAAAACATTTTAAATTACCAAAATTTGTAAATAGAAACTTTTTTTTAAAATATCTGACAAATTGCGAAATTTACTATTTTTTTTCAGTGTAAAAAAAAGCTGTTACGAAATAATGTAAATTCGCGTTTAGAATCTTGTATAAAAAAAAATGCAGAAGAAGAAGAAGAAGAATTGTAAATAGTTAAAAAAAAAACAATGAACGTAAATTTGGTTTAAAAAAGAAAATGAGTAGAGCGCTGAGGTAACAACACTGTAAATAAATAGAATACAGTATATAAATATATATTTAGTCCGAGAAAGAAGAAGAAGATAAAGAAGAAGAAAAAAGCATTGAAAAAATGAAGAAACGTAAAAATGTTGCTGACACAAGAGATGATAATTTTGAAAGATTCTTTCTTAGGTCTTAGACTTATGAGATAGACTGTGCGTAAAAAAAAAATAATTTTTTTTTTTTCTTTGGTCATTGTTTTTCTGTACTTACCGACAAATGATTCGTGTAAAAAAACAACAAACAAATGATATAATTGAATAATTCCATTTCGAAAAAAATGGAAAGAATTATTGTGTAAACGCAATGACTACGCAAGGCATATTATCCGATAACGTGAACCCCGGTAGTACCAAATCCAACAGTAATTTTAGTTCTGTCTGGTACAGATTCCTTATATTTCAATAAAATCTTAATTTTACATTTTGTCTCTTTTATTGATAACCTATAACTTTTTATTTAATTCACGTAAGAAGAAAAAATTTATCTTCTCATCTGAAGTAAATTTTCAGAATTTCTAATTGATAGAATTTTCATTTGTCCGAAATTGCAAATGTCCGAAAAAACAATCGACAGAAAGAATTTTGGCGCGATTTTTAAAATCAACTAATCAAAAATTATTTATAAAATTGTGATTGATTGATTTTAAATCACTTTGGATTTTTAAAACAAAGTGATTTGAAATTAAAATTTTTTTTGAATAATTAAATTTTTGAAAAACTATTAAAATTATTAAAAATTATTTATTTTTATTCTTCAGTATTTTGATTCGCATATATTTTTTCATATATTTTTTAAATTATTGCTTATTTTTACATAATTATAATTTTAATCAAATTAAAAAAAAAATGTATCAGCTTTTTCGATTATCAGTAGGCGTATTTATAATAGTTTAATGTGAATATTGCTACAAATTTTGGACGATTAAAATGTTTAATTTTAATTTATTTAAATTATTTTGAAATATTTTTTTAATTTTATTTCTATTTTAATACTGTTTCTATTTCAAAGCAAGGTTTTTTTTATAAGAAAATTAAAAATTAACATTCAGAAAAAAGGCATAAAAAACATTTTTATTTAAAATTAAATTACTTATGTAAAATTATAGACACGATTTCTGGTAATTTGACGAAAATCGTTTACTATAAAAATGAATAAAATTATTTGATCCAGAAAAGAAATTTTTTAATTCAAAAAAGAATTAAATTATAATTATGCTTATAATTTAAAACAATATTATAAATATTCATCATGTTAAATTTATATAATAATTCAATGTTCAAATTAAATTTTTTAAATTTATTTGTTTAAAACCAAATTGGGTGAATTCTATTTATTTAAATATATATATGAGAGAAAAATTAATAATGAGAGAAAGAAAAAAATTTTTTTTTGTGTAAAAGTGATATCGTTTCATAAAAAAAAATCTATATAATAAAAATAGAAAATAAAATAAACACATTAAAGAGAAAAACAAATATGTACACATTACTAAAATGAATAATTGAATTTTTTATTTTTAATTTTTCTTTCAAAACTTGAAGTTTCTTTTGTATTTATAAATGTTCACTATATATTTATGTTCTAGATATGAAATTAATATATGTGAAAGTAAATAATCAAACAACCAATAGAAAAAAAATTTCAATTTTATTATCTATTTAAATTTTGTTATACATATTTTATAATATCGCGTGTTCCATATTTTTTTTTATATTCTCACCGTCTTTATTAACAATTGTTTTCTCAATATATTCATATTTGAAGAAAAAAAAATTCATTCTCCTTCGCCTCGTGTCATCTATAAGTTTGTAAGTATATAATTCAAAATCTTTAAATTACTTCAGTTAATTATAAGCTTTTTAGCTGATTTTATCATTTTTTTTTAATTGAATATTATTCCTACTAATTAATATAATTACTAATTAAATAATTTATTTATTTATCAAATAAAATATTAAAATATTTCAATAAATAATATTAAATTATTAAATAATTAAATATTAAATTATTAAATGTAAAATAATATTAAAATAAAGTTCTACATGAAAAAAATTAAATTTAATAAAATTTACAAAAAATTTACAAAATTCTAAATAATTCTAAAATTCAAAATATGGAAAAAATTACAAAATTATAAATTGTTTTAAACAATTGTGAAATATTTATTTTTATATTATTTCTAATCGTTTTTCCCAATTCTAATTGATATTTAAAAATTTTTTTTTATCAAAGCTGTTTACGAGATATGAATTTTTCAAAATTTCAGAATTTTAATGATTTTTTATTTTTGAATGCTCATAAATTCCTTAAAAATGCATTCAGTAATTTTTTTTTTAATTGTGTATTTTTACGTAAACTTTTCGAAAATTTGTTGAAAAAAAAATTCTAGAAAAATAATTTACTATATTTTTTGCAATTAAAAAATTAAAATTTTATATTTTTAAAAAACATGTAACGCTTAATATTTCTTTTGAAACATTAAAAAAAAAAACTAATTCCTTTTACAAAAATTTAAAGTCTGGGTTCGGTCGTGGGCAAACAATTTTTTCAATATTTTCGACTTTTTCGATTTTTTTTTGGTATTTTTTAAAAATTGAATATTATTAAAAATAATTATATTAACTTGAATTGTTTGCAAAATCAATTATTTTCAATAATTTTAAATAAATTCTTCAAAGATTACATAAATCCTAAAATTTTAATTCGAACTATTCTAAAATACAATCACTACGAAATTTTATATATAAAATTCTTTGTTTTAGTAAAAAAATTTCTGAAAATTTTAATTTAAAATCTTATGAAATTTAATTACTTTCAAAAAAATTTTAACTCGAACTCTTCCAAATTCAATTAGTAATTGAAAAATTAATTTGAATGTTAATTCAATTGAAAATTTTTTCCCCAAATTTATTGGTAATTCTTTGTTTAATTTATTATTTCAACAGTTTTAATACAATTTTTCAAAAAATCAATTATTGAAATCGTTTTTTTAAATAATGTTTATATTTATAACAGAATTATAATATTTTTGAAATCTCAAAAAAATCAATTATTTCTAAAAATTTGAAATCAAACTTTTCCAAATTCAATTATTTTAAAAATTTTAATTAAAAATCATCTAAAATTCAATTATTTCACAAATTTTCATTTAAAATTAATTTTTTTTTCAATATTAATATTTTAATAAAATTCTTCGAAAATTTAATTATTTAAAATATTTTCCGAAATTATGAATTCGAATAATGTGCATAAAGCAGACTTGGAAAATTTTCTTTTTTAAAAAAAAAAAGAACATTAAATTATTTTTCAAAATTTGTTATTTGTAACTTTAAATTAATTTTCAAAATTTGTTATGAAACTGAATTGAAATCTTGAAAATTTGTTTCAGTTTAATTCGACCGTTTCAATAGAAAAATTGTTGAAAATATTTATGTGAAACATTCTTAGAATTAATAAATTTTATTTAATTTCTAATAACAAATTGTTAATAATAATAATAAAATATTTATCAACTAATTAAATTTATTGAAAATAAAAAAATTTACTTTTTAGACTTTTCTTGTAATGTAAATCGACTAAAATGACTCTTTTTTTTTTACTTTCAAAAGTCGAAGAAGCAAAATTTTGAATTGAAAATTTCAAAAATTATAATTTTAGTAGCATTTTTAGAAATTTGATATATTTTTTCAGTACTTTTCATAAAATTCCCCTGATTTTTCAATGATCAATTTCTCTATCTCTGACTTTTCCATGATTTACCTGACCCATGGCAACCCTGAATTTTTTTTTTTTTTGATATTCAATAGAAAAATTGAACGCTACATTACAGTTTTAAAAAAATAAAATTTTAATTTTTGAATTTCAAAAAATATAGTAAATTATTTTTCTAGAATTTTTTTACATCGAATTTTCGAAAATTTTACATAAAAATAGACAATTAAAAAAAAAAAACTAGTAAAATTAATGCAATTTAAAAAAATTTATGAGCATTCAAAAATAAAAAATCATTAAAATTCTGTAATTTTGAAAAATTTATATCTCGTTAACTGCATAATTAAGAAAAATTGAATAAAAATCATAAAAGCTAGTTTCAATTAGTACTAAACGAAAAAATTTTTTTTTAAAATATCTATATTGGAAATATTAATTAGATGTTGATGGATATCAATCATTTTAGTATTTTTGAGTCTAAAAATTGAAAATTTTTTCAGACTCTTATTTTAATTATAATTATAAATAATTATAAATTATAATTATTTAATAATTTGTTTATAATTATAATTATCAAATATATAATTTTAAAAAATCTCTCATTTAATATACAAATTTTAATATATAATATTTCCCTTTCTTTTTTTTCAGTAATCAAGAAATTATTCTTTTTCATCATAAAAAATAAATTTCAAAAAATTAAAATCTAAAAAATGGAGTTTGCCAGTCCATTACAAACAATAGAAATGATATCAGCCTACACATATCTCACTCGAATTAGCCGATATTTAATAGTGAATGGAAATTTTAATTCCTATAGAAATAATGCATTTGCAGCGATAAATGCATTTAATACATTTATAGATTATCCATCCGATTATGATGGCGATCAAATGGATTTAACACGTGAAATTATAAGAGGAAGTGATTTATATGGTGAAAAAAATAATGAACAACTTGATCAAAAATATCTTGATTTAATGTTTGACTATATTGTCTATACAGTTGTATTTGAAAATAAATATGGCAATATTTATGGTTTTTTAGCTGATATTGTACGTAAAAAAGAAACATTAAATATTAAAAAAATTTTAAAAAATGCCAAAAATATTTTAACTAATTTAACAAATAATCGAAATGAACCAATAAAACTTGATTCAAATGTAATACATAAAATATATCATGGTTCAATTGTACCATTATTTCCAAAAACAAATAGAAATTTAAATTTAAAATCAATGGATTTTATTTATGCACAAGCTGGTTGGTCAATTTATAATTCTGATTTAATAATGAATAAAACAGAATTTTTCTTTTCATTAAATAAAATTAAATCAAGTAATGATAATTATGTATTTGATGATTGTGTGGAAATTGCAATTGCAATTGAACAATTAGTGATAATGGGAAAAATTAATAAAAAAGCAATGAAAATTTTTGCCCTACCGGCATTATTGCTTTATGTTTATATTAAACGTGATAATCTTAAATTATTGGAAATGAATGAAATTGTCAATAGTGAGGAACATTGGACAATGGCTTATGAATTATTATATCAACATTTACGTGATACAATGGATTATTTGAAAAAAGCATTTGAAAGTGATTCAAAATATCAATATTATTTGGCTGTTCACGATTATCAAGATGAAAAAGTATTGGCTGCACGTGAAATTTTAATGAATTGTAAATTAAATATTAATTTATTGGAAAATGAAGTTTATAGATATTTGAATAATTCAGAAAATTATACATGTTTAAATGATACAGGAAAATTGTTAAAAAATGTTGGTAAAATTTATGAACAACAAGTGACAAAACTTTTGGTATCATATAATTTATTTATTAGAGAAATGATGTATGAAGATTATGATTTGAAAAAGAAAAATAATAATAATGAAACTAATGGAAATAATTACAGATTGAGAAGTAATGGAAAAATATTTCAATTTTGTAATGAATCAATGACAACGATATTTGAAATTGATTTTTTTAATACATTACCATTGTCAAGGGATGGACTTGAAAAATTAAAAAAATTATACAACGAAGAAAGAGCAAAAAAGGAAAATTGTTTATCATCATTTTTACCATGTTTTGCCGGTATTATGGAAGGAAATCCAATTGATACATCAATAAATTGTCCAATTAATGGTACAATACGTTCGCAAATAATTGAGAATACAGAAATTTTTAATCAATTCACAACATTTGATACACGTTTGGCATTAATTGAATATGGTACATCATTAAGGACAATTGCATTAAAAAAATCAATGCTCACAGCATTGTCAAGAGAAAATTTCATTTGGAATCGTGAAATAAATTTATATTTCGATAATTTTACAAATATTGGTAATTTTGAATTTCCCGTTATTGATCGTGGTTATGAAATTATTAATTTCTTAACAAACAGAGATTATAAGACAATTAATGATTTAATTAATAATGTTGAAGAAAATTTTTTTATATCATATCAATCAACATCGCGTAATTTTAATTTAAATAATATACAAATTATTGAAAATTTGTCAGATAAAATTGATACAATTATTGATTATGATATATGTTTAAAGAGATTTTATGGAAAAATTAATAATTATTATGGTTATAGTTTTATTAAAATGAAAAATAATAAAATAGCAGAATTAAGATTTGTTGGTCAATCGATGAAAAAAGAATTTGTTCAATTTGTTGGATTAGCGGAAAATAATCAAAAAATTTATAAAATTGTTGATCTTGTAAGTCAAAAATTAACAGGTCCTGAATATTATCTTACAAATAGTGGATTATTATCAAGAAGATGAAAATAGAAATTAAAAAAAAAAAAATTTTACAGTTACATAAATATTATATTAAAATTTTACTACAATATATATTACGTATAAGTGTTAAAAAAATATGAATTATAGAACTTTTACTTAAATGTAATTTCAAGTTTTCAAAAATAATATTTTTGTAAAATGTTAATAGAAAAAGTGTCTTCTTCTTCTTCATGAATCTATTTAAGAAATTCTAAACAAATTTTATTATCAAAAAATCATAAATTAAATTTTATAACATAAAAAATAAAAAAAAAATTTTTCAAAAAGAAGAACATCTTTTTTTTTATTAGTTTTTATTACTAAATTTCTTATCAGAATTGCTATACAATTATGACAATTTTATTTCCCTATTTTGCAACTTTATAAGCCTTTGTTCATTAGGAATGTTTGTGAATTATTCCGCTTATCAGCGGGAAAAAAAATTGGCGGCATTAATTTTTATTTTCCTTTTATTATTGTTTAATTATAGAGATATACAACAGTGTATACAAGTATAAAAGCTCTTGAAAATTTTTGCACAAAAGAGAGAAACAAAAAAAAAAAAATATCGAAAATGAATTGTCAAATATTTTTTATTTTTTTGGTTATTTGCGTTTTTCTGTTTCTAAGTACAGTACAAGGATGTTCATTGCCTGGTCAGCCTTGTGATCGTAATCGAGATTGTTGCCTTCAAAAAATATGTTATCTTCGTGAGTAGTTTTTTCAACTATATTTTAAATAATTAATATTATAATAATTATAATTAAAATAATTTAATAATAATAATAATAATAATTATTATACATAATGATAAAAATAATAATAATTAAAAATAATAGTACCTAATAATTATATAATAATAAAATGCTTGGTCTGTCCTTCTGTCCTAACTTGAAGTTGGCCTTTTCTGATTTCACGTGTTTTTTTGAATAGTAAACTTATGATGTGTCAAATTTTGACAATTTTTTTTCTCATTTTTGTCAAAGTTGTATAATTGTGTTTCCAAATTTCGGAATAAGTTTCTTTAAAATTCCAAATTCGAAAATTCAATTCACAAAGCTGAAGTACACCACGTTTACCAACGAAATTTTTTTTAAAGTTGTATATTGATTCAAAAATTGTATACAAATACAAAAAATTTATGATGAGAAAAAAGATGCGCAAGGAAATTTCGTACAAGATAGTAATTTGAAAAAAATTTATTTTTCAAAATTAATTTTTAAGGTACCAGGGGCCAACGAATACCTATTAAATATTAATTATAAAAACACAGGCCTCGAATCAACTTAAAAACACAAAAAAGTCGTTTTAGTCAATTTATATTCCAAAAAAAGTGGATTTGTTTTTTATTTTAACAAAAATATTTTACAGATTTTTAAATAATAATTTTTTTTTTTAATAATAATCCTTTTCGAAGGGTTAAAGTTAAAATTTTTAGAAATAATTAAATTTCAAAAGATATTGTTAATTATCAAACAATTATTAAATTTTACAGAACTAAAAATAATTTATCAAACAATTTTTGGAAAACATTTTTTAAATTTAATTTAATTTTCAAAGATTTAAAATTGAAATTTTTGAAATTAATTGAAACTTTAAGTGATTTTTAATTAAAATTTGAGATGATTTCACTAAAAATTTATTAGAAAATGCGGACAAAAATACAATAATTTGAAAATCATTTTTAATTGAAAAATGGTTTCAGATAGTTGAAATTTCAAAGAATATTATTAAAATAGTTAAAAATACATTGAATTTCCTTAGAGTTATAATTGAAATTATTAAATTTCCAAAAAAAAATTCATTTTGAATTTAAATTTTGGAAAATAATTGAATATTAGTTAATTTTGAATTGAAAATTTGAAAAATAATTGAATTTGAATTTCAGTTTAAATTTTTGAAAATAATTGTACTTTAGTTGAATTTTAGTTGATTTTGAATTAAAATTTTCGAAAATTATTGAATTGAAAATTTGGAAAATAATTGAATTTTAGTTGATTTTGAATTGAAATTTTCGAAAATTATTGAATTTTAGTAGATTTTGAATTGAAAATTTGGAAAATAATTGAATTTTAGTTGATTTTGAATTGAAAATTTTGAAAATAATTGAATTTAAATTTTAAAAAATAATTGAATTTTTATTGATTTTAAATTAATAATTTTTAAAATAATTGAATTTCAGTTCATTTTGAATTGAAAATTTTTGGAAATAATTGAATTTTAATTAAAATTTTGGATAATTATTGGATTCTTAATTGATTTTGAATTAAAATTTCGGGTAATAATTGAATTTTAGTTTATTTTGAATTGAAATTTTTAAAAAATAATTCACTTTTATTGTGATATTTTTTTAAAATTATAAACAATTGTTAAATTTCATAAAATTTTTAATTGAAAAATAATTTTGATATAATTGAATTTGTGATGTATTTCATTAAAATTATTAAAAACTATCAAAATTACACGCGCGTCCAACTTTGAATGCAATGTTTGTTTTAAAATAATAATATTAAAAAATTATGTAGTCAAAAAGAAAATTAAATTAACTGAAAATTATTAATTATATTTTAAAAAGTATTAACCCGTGTGGAAAAGTGATGTGGGCCCCCAGCGGGGGCCCTTATGGATCGCCCTCATGCCATGAGGGCCGCATATGGATGATCCATAGGGGCCCCTCATGGAAACGACATGCTCATCGATGAGGGCGCCCGCATGGGCGATCCATGAGGGTGCCCCTACGGGCGCCCTTATGGGCCCTCACGTTTGCCCTCAAGTTTGCCATAATGTTTTTTAATCAATAATATTAATAATAAAAGTTAATTAATAATAAATAAGCTTAAATTATGAATAAATAACATATTTATTTAATAATTATTCAATTTTAAATTAAATTCTTACTCAAATTGAATTTATTAATTAACGTTCTAATTAATTAACTGTCGGATATAATTAAAAGTAATAATAAATTAATTAATTAAAAAATTAAAAAATATGTAATTTATGCATACTATTAACGGATATTTTCATTTTTCAATTAAATCATACATAGAATTAATGATTAAACGCAAACCTGAGAAATAAATAAATCTAACGCATGAGGGGAATCGAACCTACGACCTACGGACTATGAGTCAAACGCTTTACCAACTACGCTACGCACGCTACTTCCAAACGAATGCTAACTTCTTGATGCTATTTAAACTTCAAAAATACCTAACAAAGAAAAGTGCTTAACATCATTTAGTTAAAGTTAAGATATTAAATTATATTTTCCAATCAAATGCAATTTATAAAATATAATTAATTATATGCTTTATGATTATTATCATGAATCATCTCAGGTGAATTTTCAAAAAAGTGTAAATATATTTTTATTAAAAACGCGTTTTTCGTTGTTCTGAATCATTGGAAACATTCATTTTTTGTTGACGAAAAAATATTTGAATTTTGGACTTAGAAAATTTTGCTAATCGATCATGAGGGCGATCCATGCGGGCCCCTACGGTGGCCCTCATCTATTTTGCCATAAGTGTGAGTGTTATTTTCAAAAAAGTGTAAATATATTTTTATTAAAAACGCGTTTTTCGTTGTTCTGAATCATTATAAACATTAATTTTTTGGTGATAAAAAAATATTTGATTTTTGGACTTAGAAAATTTTGCTAATCGATCATGAGGGCGATCCATGCGGGGCCCCTACGGTGCCCCTCATGGATTCGCCATATGGATCAGCCCTCATGGGCCCCCGCCGGGGGCCCCGAACTCTTGAGGGCAAGATCGTGGCTTTTTCCACACGGGAAGCAATTAAAAAATATTTAAAAATTTTGAAAAAATAAAATCTAAAAAAAACTTTGTAATATTTTAAACTTTAAATTTAAATTAAAAATTAAAATCAAATTGTAAATTTTTTTAAAAAGCAAACTATTTTTATATTGTTTACAGATAAAAAAATATAACAATTTAATAAATGTGCTGCACACAATGAATAATATTTTTTTTTTTACTTTAAACTGTCACTTAGTATATGACTTAATTAATGACGATGAATAAAAATATCCGTCGCGTTAACCATAAAATATTACAAAATCAAGAATTGTCAAAATTTTAAAAAAACAAAAGGAACAAAATACGACTAACTTCAAGTGTGGACAGACGGAATGAATGAATGAATGAATGAATACGGAAATTATTATAGTTAATTAATAATTAATTTAGTGAAGAATCATTTTAGTTCAAAATTTGTTAAATAATTGAATTGAAGAAGATCTGAAGAAGATCTACATTTTATACTAAAAAAATGTATTGTATTTACATTTTTTTTCACATGTAAAAAAAAAATGTCGCATTTTATTAAAATAAGTCGATAAAAGTCGTATTTTTGATAAAAGTCGGAAAAAGTCGTATAATCCGAGGCCTGATAATTTTCATTATTATCATTTAATATGTAATAATTCTAATAAATTAAATTATTATTGATAATATTAATCTTTAATTTCTTTATAACAAACAATTAAATACTCAATTTGACGCGCGTTTAATTTTGCTAGTTAATTAATAAAATAATAAATTTAATTTATAAAAAATCGGACAAGTGCAATTTACACTCACACTGAAATCGAGGGTTCCGTACTCGAAGCAAACTTATTTTGTATAAAAACAAATGTTTAAAAAATATGTGTTCTATGTAAAATAATATAAGTGATACAAAAAGGAACAATTTTGAAAAAAAAATTTAACAAAAATTGTTCCTCCTTTGGTATAAAAAAAAAATTTTGAATATGTGTTGTATGTCAAATAATATACAAAAAGGAAGAATTTTCTTAAATTTTACAAAATTCTTCCTTTTTGTATCACTTATATTATTTGACATACAACACACACGGAAAAAATTAATTCAGTATATTTTACAAAACTGTGACGGAGTAGCGGATACAGCTCTTTACGAAACTGAGTTTTGTAAAATGTGATGGATATTTTCGGATAAACTACAGAACTTTCGTTGTTTATGCTGAATATTTCTGGAGTTTATCCTGAATATTTCGTGACATTTTACAACACTCAGTTTCGTAAAGAGCTGTATCCGCTACTCCGTGATAGTTCTGTAAAATCTACTGAATTCATTTTTTCCGTGCATATTAAAAAATTTTTTTTTATACCAAAGGAGGAACAATTTTTGTTAAATTTTTTTTTCAAAATTGTTCCTTTTTGTATCACTTATATTATTTTACATAGAACACATATTTTTTAAACATTTGTTTTTATACAAAATAAGTTTGCTTCGAGTACGGAACCCTCGATTTCAGTGCTAGTGTAACTCGAAATTGTTCGATTTTTTTTTCCTTAAAATTATCATTTTTCTTTAAAAATTTGATAAAAATTGATCATCAACACCCGGGTTGAATATTGTGTGCGCTAGGGAGAATAAACCATTTTTTCGAAATTTTTGATTTTTCCTTGACAACGAAATGTAAATTGATCCGAATCAAGTCCGCTATATTTTTTCTGTAATCTACACGCAAAAATACATACGTGTACCAAATTTCAGCCCTCCAGATAAATTCTTGTGGCCGTTAGGAGGGGGGGGGGGGGGGTACACGCTTTCAAAAAAACTGATATTAATAGAAAAAAAAAATATATAAAAATTATTTATAGTATAAAAATTTAGTAAAAGGTTATCCTAATTTAATATATTATTTATTATAATTTAATATTATATTCTTCTAAAAATAAACGATTTAATTTTAAAAATAATATTTCGAAAAATTTTTTGTATAAAGAATAACGAATAATGTCAACAAAAATTTATTGAAAAAAATACACTAAAACGTCAATCGAGAACAGACGAATGTGCAGTGCTGTTCTCGATTGACGCGATTTTTATCGCTCGAAAATAAAAACACTCAGGGCCGTATGAAGGGCCTTAGGGCGCACTCACACCTCTGGCTGCCTGCACAGGCAGCCTCCCACCACGCAGAAAACGTACAAGAGTAAGAGAGACAGAAAATTCAAATTTAAATCTACTGACTCTCTGATTGGCTCTCACTGGCTGCCTGTGCAGGCAGCCAGAGGTGTGAGTGCGCCCTTACGCAACAATGTGAATTCTATCTAGGGGATTTTCACTAGTGGGGCACTGAATCCACCTTAAATTTAAAAATCACAAGTACGACTTTGGCGTCAGTCATAACCTAAATTCTACCCGCTTCCCCACTTCCCTTCAAGTGTTCCCTTGCTCTGTTCTCGACTGACGTGTTCTCGATTGACGTTCTAGTGTAGTGCATTTAAATTTTAACAAATAATTAAAATAAAAAAAATGATTAGGTAATCAATTTTAATTTTCTATTTCAGGTCAAGGGCAAAGAGGAACTTGTGGCTAACAAAAAAAATGAAGCAAAAAAAGTTTTTGTAAAAATGATAATTTTTTTTTTTCATGAAACAAATTAATGTGTGATTTAAAAAAAAATTCATTATATTAATCATTCTATTAAAAGACATAAATAAACAGCTAGTGAGAAAATTAAATTGTAATAATAAATTGATAAATAAAATAATTTAAAAGTGACAAGCACCTTGAAAAAATTCCATAAATCACTGGATCATTTTTTTTTTACTCGAAAAAATTCAGGAAATCATAATTCTGAACGCTTGGTTAATTATAATTATATTTTATATTATATTATATTTATTATAATTATATTTTATTACATTAACTATAATTATATTTATATTATATTTTGATAAATCTAATCACAGTTTTAAAGCTAATTCAAATTTAAAAAGTTGCACAACGCTGCCGCCGCCATTGCCCGGTGGCGCTGTGCCTCCCCTTCCGCTAATATTCATTCCATTTTTTTGTGTAAATCTATGTGAACACTAAAAAATTTTGCGAGAGTGCTAATTTAATAATTTTTATTCAATAATAAATTTAAAATGTATTTTAGAATATCTATTACAATATAACTACATTAAACCAGTGTTTTTTATAAATAAAATAAATGTTATAAACAAATTAAGTTTAAAAATAGCGATTCTTTTACAATAAATGTAATTGTGACTAAACAACAATAGGAAATAACCTAACAATAATGTCTTTAAAGTTTTCGGGGTCGCTCACTACGAATCTGGCATAAGATTTTCAAAATTCAAAATGGCGGATCCAATATGGCGGATGACAAAATGAAAAATTAATCGGATTTGCTTGAAATTTGTTACTACGGTGTTTTTGATGTCGCTGTTTATGAATATGACTTTGGATATTTATAATTCAAAATGGCGCTTTTGTGTGTGTGTGTGTGTCTGTGATCAATTTGATCAATTTTAAAAAAATTCGTAATTCGTAATCAGCGACCCCGAAAACTCCTGAGTAACCAGTTTCGAGCAAATTTGAACAATTTGTAAAAAATTGTCCGCCATATTGGGTCCGCCATTTTGAATTTTGAAAATTTTTTTAATCTGGCTTCGGATTCGTAATCAGCGACCCTTAAAACCCCCTATAATGCACTTCAAAGATAAATTCCTGTTAAAGAAAAATGTATGCTTCAAAGGGTTAATTAAATAATGAAGTCCTCACCTTATTTGGCGACGATCCAAATAAAAACAATGATTCAAAAAAGGTAATATTCACAACGTTTTGAGAAAAAATTGGTCCTCTATTCTTACAAAGGGTATGACTATAAAGAATCAACTGAGGAAATATTAAAAAAATGCCTAAAAATTTTGTGACATTAAAGCCGCCTTTGAATTCGGAAATTAAGCGCACTATATGACAGAAAAGGCTCGAAAAAATGACATTTGTCAAGTGAAAGCGCAAAAAAAGATTGGAGCTGCGATTCATGCTACCGTGTTAGCACTATCTAATATATATGAGAGATTCTTTTTCAATCGCCCCAGCCCAAAAAGTCAATGTTCTGGGATTGGCTTCATACTTTGGTAAATTGTTGTCCTATATGATAGTAATAAATCCCTAAAATATAAACTAATTAAAAAAATATTTGTAGAAAGTAGAGGGGGTTGAAGTTTTGACGTTAAGGGTAACATTGTCATTTTCAAATCCGTTTAACTATGACAAAAGTTAATGGATTTTAATTTATCTATAATGAATTTTATTGCATTTTTCACGTACTTTTCAAAAATGTATACGAAATTTAAAAAAAAAAATTTTTAACCCCTTTTTTTTAAAATCAACCCTTATTTTTCGATTTTCACCCCTTCGGGTATTTTTTTTTGTTTTTTTTTTATTTTCATTGGAAAGCTGAGGTTTTTTCCCATGAGCTATGTAAATATGAAAATGGGACAACAATAATTTTGTGAGAAACATAATATTAAATTAGGCGGTGCCTATCTAAATCCTCAAAGATGATCTCCAGGTACACCCCTTATCGGCACCGCCTACTTTAATATTCTGTTACTCACAAAATTATTGTTGTCCCATTTTCATATTTACATAGCTCATGGGAAAAAACCTCAGCTTTCCAATGAAAATAAAAAAAAAAAAAAAAAAAATACCCGAAGGGGTGAAAATCGAAAAATAAGGGTTGATTTTGAAAAAAAGGGGTTAAAAATTTTTTTTTTTAAATTTCGTGTACATTTTTGAAAAGTACGTGAAAAATGCAATAAAATTCATTATAGATAAATTAAAATCCATTAACTTTTGTCATAGTTAAACGGATTTGAAAATGACAATGTTACCCTTAACGTCAAAACTTCAACCCCCTCTACTTTCTACAAATATTTTTTTAATTAGTTTATATTTTAGGGATTTATTACTGTCATATAGGACAACAATTTACCAAAGTATGAAGCCAATCCCAGAACATTGACTTTTTGGGCTGGGGCGATTGAAAAAGAATCTCTCATATATAGAATATATATAGAATTTTATCAGATGCTCACTATAATATTTCCATTACAAGGCGTGCATCTATCCAGAAAAAAACATTATACATTCACCGCCTAGTGAATCAGACATTTTAAGAATGCGAATTCATTATTAATGTTTTCAATCGGAATTTAACATTTTAAATAGGAGTTCGTTTCAATGAGTAATTTCCTATTAATGAAAAATTTAATGAATCTGTTTACACAATTTTGAATTGGGTCAAAAATTTTTAGGTTATGTTGTCATATTTCGCACAAAATTAAATAATTTTTAATAAACGAGCTTGTATAGAGTCCAATAATTTTAATTTATCAACAGTTTTCAAAAGTTTATTTAAATCATTAATTGTTGATATCTTTATTTCTGATGAAAATGGCATAATTATATCAACTATATAAATTTTTACCTTCATATTATAAAAAACTGCAACTCTTTTTCTAATGTCAAAGTTGTTCTCAACTCTTTGAAATCCAAAGAAGTAGTCACTTCCTCTTGTGAAACACCAGTATTCACAAGGCAGTGGAGTATAGTCCAACCATTTCTTAACTCTGCAAAAGTTAATTCCTTATAATAATTAATTAAGGTAATTCCGTTTAATGTATTGAATCCTACGGTTATCTGTTTAAAGAAAAATAATATTGTTAATTATATATTTTAATTTTTATAAATATCATTATATTATTATATATATGTTAAATGAAATTTATGTCATTGGACATTTAATTAACCTAATCATATTTGATAAGGCAGAAATTATATTGACCAACGGTCAACTTTTATGTACGAAACTCTTACGATTATTTTCGTACATGGCTTCTGAAAAAAGTTGGTCGTATCTCGCTGCTGGAGTACGGGGTATTATTTATTTTAATTTATTAAAAATGACGCACATATAGGAAGTAACATCTATATTCTCGTTGACTTATTAAAAAAAATATTTTATTGATTTATTATTTTCGTCACCGATTAACGTCATAGTTTAAAAATTTCTGTTCATTTTTAAACACCTATACAAACAATAAAAACTAGAAATGGTTACTTGCGTCTATTATTTTTTATAAAAAGACATTTTTTTTATTCTAATTTATTATTAAGAACACAAATAGACGCAATAGCAACTATATATTATTGTTGAATTATTCCAAAAAAGTTCTATTGATTTAATATTATCGTCATCGATTACCGTCATCGATTATAAAAATTCTGCCGATTTTCACACCTATGTAAACTGTAAAAAATATATAAAAAGTAAAAGTTAACTAATTTTTTATCAAAGTTGTCAAACGAGTAGTCACTCGTGAAATAGTAAATCATGATTTCGTTAATATTAATAAAATTGCTTCTAATATTTGTGTCGAGTACAATTTCACAGCCTACACTGCCATGGAATTTGACAGTAAGTTTTTAAAATATTAATTAAAAGATAAATGTGCCTCATCACCACATGCATTTTTCATTTAACTATAAATTCATCTTTTAGCTAACTGCACGAGCTATCGAGCCTTTAGTTCGAGATAATTCAGGATCACTGACCAATCAAAGAACTAAATATCAAACCTTCAATGATAATACTAATTTTGGTATAATAATTAAACAAGGTACAACATTTAGCTTAACGGTAGAGACACCTTCCAAAATAGAAGATTTAAAGTTTTTCTGTTTTCCTTATCCACAACATGAAAAAAAATTAATCAAATTAAATCTTACCGGAAAAACAAATTGCACAAATACATTAACAACAAATTATGATTGTGTACCTATGGTATCCGCATCAAAAAATGTTCCATTACGGATGATAATTAAAACCAAAAACTGGTTTCCATTGTCAACTAACAATTCTAATGATGTGTCACTTCCAAAATCACAAGGAAAAGGAATTTCACACAAAATAGAAAATAATTTAAAATATTCATTTCATGCATTAGGTTATAATGATTTGGAATTTTTAACAATATTGATAAATTACAAGAACATGACAATAGAATTACAACAATTGCAAAAAAAAATTCATTCGAACTTTCAACAAGAAGTATATTTTTGGATCAGTTTAGAACGAAATGGTTTATCAATTTTTGAGTATAAATTTTTAGGTTGTCCCCCATGTGGTACAAAGCTTATTAATGCGGTGGAAAAATTTGAGTTAAATGATGTAATTCATTTTTATCATGCCGAACCAGGTCGTTTTAAATCAAATCTCGAAGGATTAAATTATAAAAAAACAAGTAATTCTTTTATTTTATCAAATACAGGTTTGGAGACCTTAAAATAAAATGGAACAGAATTAAATAATTTAAAATAATCATTCGATGCTTTAGTTCTTGTTGATAAGATGTTTTTAAAAATATTTTTTGTAGTGTAGCACATAGCCATAATTTTGTTTTAACACAGTAGGGTTTGCGCCATGCCACATTAATGATATGATTCTTACAATAATTTTTTTTAATGCAATAAAATTGTTAAATTTAATTTGGAATTGAAAATAATTTTAAGTTACAATGCATTATATTAACATTAATTTGCAAATTATATTCGTACATTGAGGTTTTAATGACTTGGAAGCGTACACTCAAATGAAATTGGGATGAAAACTAGATTAATTAAGTCTAGTATAAATTACATACATAAACTATGAAATTTACTGTACTAAAGTAAAATATTATAACAATATTAATAATGTAATTGTTAAA